CAAGATGGCGCCACTGCACTCCAGCCTGGGAGACAGAGCGAGACTCCTTCTCAAAAAAAAAAAAAGAAAGAAAGAAAGAAAGAAAAAGAAAAAGAAAAAAAAGCGGGCAGGTCCCCTCTGCATGGCTCGCAGGAGGCAGTCGAGCTTGCTGCATTCGGCACCCCCCTACCCTCCAGAGGACCTTCACACACCACACATCAACAATAAACATGCCCTGCTCCGAACAATTACCTGAAAGCCGTTCTTGGGAAACCTAAATAGTATTCCCAGGAACACAATGTTGTAAGAGATGTGCACAGTCTAGGACAGATACAAAAGCCCGTTTAATCAGTAAAAGACTCTGACAACATCCACTTTTAGGACTTGGAACCCTTCCCTTTTGCTCCCACAGGCTCCCACAGGCAGAAGCCCCCAGAGCCTGCACTGCCATATCCAGCACCTGCGCTGGGCTAATGTCTAGTTCAGAGGTTCCCAGTCGCTGGCCCCAGGCGACTGTGGGTCACTCGGAAGACATGGGAGCAAAGTGACTGACTGTAAAAACAATGGTCGCTATGGGTGGTTTCCCGGATCTTTCCCCGAACTCACTCTCCCACCAGGTAGAACTGGAGGAGGAAGAAAGGGAATGGAGGGAACACAGAGAAAGAGGCTCCAAAACAAAACAGTGAAAATGAAAATGCAGTGATGGGAGCTTCCAGGAGATGCCAGTAATGGAAGCGGCTGTGTCACACATGGAAATCTAGGTCCAAACAGCTCAGAGACCGCCAGACACCCTAAAAGGCTAGTGGTAAGGCAGGCAGCTGGGAAGCTTGGCCCTCTGTGCTGGTCCTCAGTTCCCTGTCCACCCCAGGCCGTTTCTGGCTGTTCCCAGGCCCAGAATGTGACCTTGACCCTCTAATTTGCCTAGCTAACTCTGACCCGTCCCTCCCATCCCAGACCAGCAGCATCGCCCCAGCAAGCAGCCTCCCTGCCACCCGGGGCTGACCCAGGCATCCTCCTATGAGTCCCACTGCACTCTGCCCTGACCTCCCATGCTGCCCTGACACCACCGTTCAAACCATCTGTTAATGTTTGAGCTTCCCGCTCCCTAGACGACAGCCTCCTCAAGGTCATGGGATCTGTCCTTATCTGCAGGCCTCTGGGTTCAAAGTCAGGATTCAAAATTGACGAAGTGTGTGCGACCTTGGATAACATCCCCGCTCTCTGCTTCACTCTGCTCCTCTGTCAGCTAGGGACAGCCACATATGCCTGTGCTATGGGGCTGTGTGAGAACTGCATCCACAATCCAAGCAAAACCCTGAAAGTCAGGCAAACGCATAATGAATATTAACCACCACCTCCTCCACCTCGAGTGCCAAACACACCTGAGATGATAAAATACTGGTTGACACACTTCATGTCATCAAGGAGCTTGCTTTTGTCTGGAACACTGCATCCAGCTTATAAGCCTGCTCCTTAGAGAAAGGCCATCGTCCAGTTCTACAGAACATCCAGGAAGTAAGCACCTTTAAATTCAGGTCTTGGGTTATGTGTGGAGTGGAGCAAGGTGAAGGCAATGAGGCACCTTCCTCAAAGCTTCATTTCTCACCAATTCACTCCGGAAAAAAGCCACTCTTCTGAAAGTTAAAAAATATTTTCTCTTGGGAAACAAACAAACAGACCCTTACGAATGGTTCTACCTGGTGAGTCGTCCTGTAATATTTATTCTCCTGGAAAAAAAAATATGATCCAACAGTACATTTTTATTTCTGGATCTTGGAAAATATTTAGACCAACACCTCAGTTTTATCCTCAAAACACTGGAGCCATCCAGGGAGGTTAAGACGCTGGCCCAGGGCCAGACAGCTGGGTCAGGAAATTGTAATAAGCTCTATTCTTCAGCTCCACTACCCAGCAGGTATGTGAGCAGTGGCTTCAATTTAATTTCTTCATCTAATTAAGAAAGGGTATTCATATATTTCAGTAATGCAGAAGCAATGGAGAAAGGAGGCTGGTCTTGGAAAAGATTACTTCTTAAAGAAAAGAAAGGCACCTTCAACTTCATTCTTGGATCTCAAAGTTAGAACATTCCCCAGAGAAAATACGGAGAGTCCCTCTTCCTTAGAAGCATTGCATTCCATTCCCCGCCTCTGGGCTGCCTCTGAGATCCCACATCCCGGGAAGCCAGGGGTTCCTTGCTTGGCAGTTCCCTGGGAGAGTCTGAGGGCTCAGTACCATCCTGAGTGCTTCCAGACCACCCAACACGCAGGGCAGCGAGCACAGCTTCATCCACTATTGCAAGTGAGGTGTGGGGAAAAAAGGGACAGCACACAGAACCAGAAAAGCTGATGCCAGGGCTGGACCAGCCACAGCTTTTCGTGTGGCCTGGGCTACCTGACCCCTCCTCTCCAAGCTACAAGGTTCCCATGGTTACAATGAGGGTTCGTAGGGCAGATGGGTGCTGGCCCACCTGGTTCTGTGACTGTCAGTCTCCAAGGGCAGGCTTCCTTTCCATCGCTACCCCCAGAGGAAAAGGCTTCTAGGAGGGAGAAATGTGAACAAAAGTAGGCAGTGGGGCCACATGGTGGACCACAGGGGAAAAAAATGTTCTCAGAGGCAGGCAACGTGGCTTGTAGCTCCCGGCCCTGCTGCTGCCTGCCAGAGTGGCACGTCTACCCCTGAACTTCAGCAGCTTCAGCCAAACAGTGTGAGGTCCCTTCAAAGTCCCAAACCACACTGAATCCCCAGGAGACGTGACTTACTCTAGTAACAGTCTGGATACAGGGATTACCAACTAGCAAGCTAAGGGCACTGGAATCTATTTATAAAATATATACATTTTACAATGCTCTTTGAGTTTCCCAAATCCTCATGGCACAGATGACCAGGGGGTGCCTGCATCATGCAATTGAGTTTGCCCTTCATTAGTTCCTCTTCCAGAGTTCCTGACATTAGAATCAGGGCCTCTTTAAAAACACAAACTGCAAAAATCAAATTGCACTGGGTCTGGAAAATTTCCATCCCATTAAAATTGGGTTATTTGCACCCATTTTCTCATGAGGTCCTCAATCCATCCACAACCTTCGATGCCTGATGCAGGTGGAAGTCCACAGCCAGTGGGGGTCTGACTCTGAAGCCACAGTAGGCACACGGCACCATGCCTTCCCTTCCACTCAACACTGTGGCAATTACTCTGGAGCAGGGCTCAGATCACTCTCCTCCTCCAAAACCATCCATGGCTCCCACTGACACAGAGTCAAACCCAAAGTCTTGGCCTAGAATTCAAAGATTTCACGATATATCCTCATTTGACACATTTCCTTTGCACACTTTAAAAATAAAAACAAAAAATGTAAAAGGCATTAGAAAAGTGCAAAAAACGAGGTTCCCTAATCTCAGTACTGGAGAAGAGAATACAATCAAAAAGGCTGTTGTCTCCTTTGGAACCACTGGGTGAACCCCCTGGGAAAGTTCACGGTGTCCCTCCCCCTTCCTTTGCTGGAGCAGCTCTCTCTGGACAGAGGCCCTTCCTGCCACCTTGGACCTGCCCCACCTACAAGCTTTGACTCAGACCCCCGCTCCCTTGCAAAGCCACCCTGACTCCTAGGGACTCCCACAGCTCCACAGGCGCCTACACCAACTTACTTTCTGCCTGGCATTCCATTTACAAATGCATCTTAGGTGCCAGGATCAACTCTCAACCCCCAACCCCAGCCCCATTCACTGGGGCATGTCCTCCTTCCATCTCCCAGGCCCCACTACGGGAAGTGCTTTCTTCCCAGTCTCCCAGTGCAGGAGCCAGACCCCCTCTCACCGCAGGGCAGCAGGGATCCACTGGGGATAGTTTCTTGGGGCCTTGTCTCACTCCTCTGTTACCCCAGCCTTGACCCTGCAGGAGGCAGCGCAGGATATTTGTTCAAAGGATTTTAAAAATTATTATTAGCTAGAAAAAAGACCACGAACTTTGGAGTGGACATCCTGAGACCTGCCTACGAAGACCATTAGGGTAAAGAAGTCACCCCTTCACCCCAGAACCAGGAAGCCTCCAGGATGGCATAAGCGACCAAACAGCTGGGAGCCAAGCACAGTGCAGGCGGCTTGGGGGCGGCGGCCGGAGGCTGGGGTGGGTAAGACCCGCAGGGAACTCCGGGGCTTGGGCGGCGGCTCATTCCCCGGGAAAGGGCTCGCGGTGGGTACTGCGGGCAGTAGTGGCCGCGGACCCCGCGCGCAGGGGATGTGCGGGGCGTCCTCTTGGCCAGTTCCGACCTTCCCCGCCGGTGGCGGTGCCCCGGGCGCGTAGTCCTTTCCCAGACCTGCTCTTGGGACCGAGGCTCCAGCCCCAGGGTCTGCGGGCGGGGCCCCGAACCGTGAAAGCCCCGCCGCCAGATCGCCCGCGGGACCCTGGCCCGAGGCGCCCTGATCCCGCGCCGCAGCGCAGACCCGCAGACCGCGACCCACTGCGCTGAGGCGCGGGCGCCACCAGCGAGAGGTTGGGCAGGGCAGGGGCAGGAGCAGAGCAGGGACGAGGGCAGGGATATGGCCAGGGCTGGGCGGGCGTCCTCTGCACCAAGCCCGCGAGTCCCCGCCAGGGACGCTGCCCCCCGCCCGCTGCCACCCGGCGCCCGGGCAGGACCCAGCGGGGCAGGCGCGGCCGCAAGCCCCGAGCACCAAGGCCGGCACCGCAGCGCCGCGTCCCGCCCTCCCCGCTCCGCGGCCGGCCCGGGCGATGCCGACACAAAGGGGACGCGCGTCACCCTACCTGGGCCTGCTCTTCCGCGGTGCGCGGCTCCGACGGCTCCGCCCGGTACCGGCTGCGGGGTGCCGGGTGCCCGCCGTTTGCCGCCCGCGCCTCCCCGCGCCCGCGCAGCCCGCACGGCCCGCTCTGCAACGCCGGCCCTGCTGCCTCCCGCCTGCCGAGAGCCCGCGCGGGGAGAGGCGGCGGCGCGGGCGGGGCGCGAGCGCGCACAGAGGCCGGGCACGCGGGAGGCTCGGCCCCGCCCCCGCCCCGAGCCGCACAGCGCCCCCTGCCGCCCGCGTGCGCCCGCCCGAGGTCGGGAGCCGCCCCGCAGGCCCCCAGGACAGGCTCCGGGACCACGAGGGACTGCGGAGACCGCCTGCGCACGCTAACATGAAAATGCTACTCCTGCTTTAGTGGCCTCCAGAAGACACTCCCCTGATTCCCACACCGAGGGAACACATATCAGCAAGCTAGGAAAGAAGAGGTGACCCAGCCCAGCGCTCTAAACCAGGGCGCGAACAGGCGTTAAGCTGCGCAGCTGCGCCCTGGGCTCCGGTCCTGCTCTGCTGCAGACCCCACCGGAGCCAGCACCTGCCTCCCAGACCCTTGCTGGGGGGGCTGTGAGATGAGCCCAGAGCCTTCCTGAGCCAACCCTCGCAAGGAAAGTCTGTCTGTTCATCCCACTACCTGCTTGTCTAGAAGGATGGAGAAGAGAGGGCCCCCCCCCCCGGGTGGTCCCAAAAGGTGGAATGGACATCTGGGATCCAAGCATAGCACTTTCTTTCTTTTTCTTAAGGTATCTAGCTTGTTGGAATCTAAGATCTGCGAAGGTATTAATAGAATTCCTGTATCTTCTGCCACTCCCCATAGGAGCTTCAAGTTACACAAATGTTAAATTGTATGTGAGATGTGCATATATGAACAAAACCTACGAGTATGCATGAAATTATACCTCTTCAATATAAAGATTCTTTTTTCTGCAATATTAAACGGAAACCCCACTAGAACATCGTTTTTCCTTAATAGCAGACCCTCCACACTGTGTGGTCTAAATGCAAGCTTTACCACCTACTAGCCATTAAGCAAGTTACTTAACGTTTTCGTGCTTCCATTTTCTTATGTGGAAAATGAGGTGGCAATAGTATGTATGAATTCTTGGGAGGGATTACACAAGTCAAATAGGCCGAGCACCATGGCTTACACCTGTAAGCCCAACACTTTGGGAGGCCAAGGCAGGAGGATTGCTTGAGCCCAGGAGGTCAAGGCTGAAGTGAGCTGTGTTTGCATCACTACACTCCAGCCTGCGCAACAGAGTAAGACTTTGTCTCTCAATAAATAGATAGTCAAATTAAATATAACTGGCAAACTAAAACAACTCCATAGTCCTGAGCTACAGTTTGTCTCATTTCTCCAAAGAATTAAATGAGATGATTATTAACTAACTCAAAGCTCTGCATAATTTGTCTTCTGCTACCCATACATTTTTATAGTAAAATAAAATAAAATAAAATAAATCTGCCTCCTCTGTATTGAGAAGTTATTCTGGTAAATATTTGACCTCTTCAAAGATATGAACGAGCACTTGCCTTCTAATGCCTCAGTTTCAGATTCTTTTTAGAAATGTCATTATTCAAGAAAAATGCACAATGGGAAGAATCTTAACAACAGCACTTTGTTACTCCAGCCTCTCACTAGAAGATGAAAATAGTTCTGCATAAAGGCCTGAGCTTTATGAAAAATATATTCACACCTCCCATGTCCGAGTTGGGATACCAGAGAAGTTCTTGGTTGAGTACTACTTATGAATGAAGGATTCAGGGAATGCATGGGTGGGTGACTGCAAATGCACAAGAAGTGGACGTTGTACTGTGTTCCCCACAATAAAGTGGTCTGTATAAAGATGCAGGCGTTCTCATGGCATACAGAGGTATAAGAGCCAAGCTGGGGGACTGCATAGGAGCATCTGGGGCTGCAGGAAGAGAGTTAAGGTGCAAAACCGCCCTAACCCAACTGAGACTTGTAATTGCTCATATGGTAACACATGTGACTTCATTCCCCTGCTCTGTCTTTGTGAATGCAATCATTGTTGGGGAGATAGTGAGAGGGGCCACTGGCATTGAAAGTACAGTTTGCAGCAGGCCTCAAAAGGCACTCAGATGCAGTTTTCTCTGCAAAGACTTCCTGGCCTATCGTGGCGTTCCCCATCCCCAGATCTCTGATCTCTGAGCTGGTGTAATACTTAGTCTTTGCCTATGTTGGTCATGGCATCTGCCACACTTATTGTTTGTGGCATTCACTCTCTGATGCTTAGATCTTAAGATTCTAGACAACAGCATTTTTCTACATATTCCCTCTTAGGGCCCTGAACATAATAAGCACTCAATAAATACTGAGTGAAATCCTCTCCTCTGAGCTATGCCTCTGAGCAGCTGCCCTAGTTCTCTCCAACAGTAAGTTTGTTGGGTCTCTCAAGTTCACTTCCAGCTGTCACTGTCAGTTTTCAATCCAGCCCTCTATTCAGGTCTGGCTGGCCCATCTCCCCCAAAGGGCTGTCCCATAGAGCCCATTGTAAAGGACACTCATTGTTGCCAAGTGTTTGTGCCAATGCAGTGTGACTCACCCTTCACTCATTGAACAAGCTCTTCCTGATTACCTAGATGGGTAAAATTTCTGCTCATGGGAAGCAGGCTGGCAACTCAGTGCTGCAGCAAAAGGCCCAGAGGCTGGGAAAGCAGCCAGCCATTCTGACACCTCTTCTAGACACAAAATCAAGGGAAGCTCAGACTCACACTTGAATTTTTTTAAAAAAATTAGACAATGGGCTGGGCTTGGTGGCTCATGCCTGTAATCCCAGCACTTTGGGAGGCCATGGCAGGCAGATCAACTGAGGTCGGGAGTTCGAGACCAGCCTGACCAACATGGAGAAACCCGTCTCTATTAAAAATACAAAATTAGTCAGGCGTGGTGGCATATGCCTGTAATCCCAGCTACTCGGGAGGCTAAGGCAAGGAGAATCACTTGAATCCGGGAGGCAGAGGTTACAGTAAGCCAAGATTGTGCCATTGCACTCCAACCTGGGCAACAAGAGCAAAACTCAGTCTCAAACAAAAAAAAAAAAGGAAAAAAAATTAGACAGGGGAGTTTGTGTGAATTTGTAATCACACATTCCATAAATATAGAAAATTCACATTTTTTAATTTTAAAAATTAACTAATTCCATTTCTTGTTTCTCTAGGGTAGCAGGAAATTAAATGCCAGTTCTTATTCTGACTCTCTCTCTTTAGGGACACACAGGAATCTGGGGGATATTATGGTTCTGGGAATGTGGAACGTAACCTCTCATCTTCAGCCCGTCTGTGCTACTGACCGTCTCATTCAGGAAGCCACGCCTTCGCTCAGGAGCAGACTGCACAAGGCACAGTCCCCAGGTGAGCCACACAGCCCTCCCAGGGTAATGCCAAGGAACAGAGGACAGTTCCCGCTACTCTCAGGGTCTTCTTGGCAAAGCTTCTGATACAGTTTGGCTGTGCCTCCACCTGAGTCTCATCTGGAATTGTAGCTCCCATAATTCTCATATGTTGTGGGAGGGATGCGGTGAGAGGTAACTGAATCACAGGGGTGGGTCTTTCCTGTGCCATTCTCGTGATAGCGAGTAAGTCTTATGAGATCTGATGGTTTTTAAAGGGGAGTTCCCCTGCAAATGGTCTTGCCTGCTATGCCTTTGCTCCTCCTTGGCTTCTACCATGATTGTGAGGCCTTCCCAGTCATGTGGAACTGTGAGTCCATTAAACCTCTTTTTCTTTATAAATGACCTAGTCTTAGGCATATCTTTATTGGCAGTGTGACAATTGTGACACATGTGACATTGTGACAATGACAAGCTTTATTGACAGCTTCCCTTGTCTGTACTCTTACCTTCCTCCCTTCAAAAGCACCCTCTCTTTCTTTTCCAACCTTGACATCTCAAGTAATCTCTGCAGTGGGTGTGGCATCCACATAAGACAGGATGCAGACATGTCTCCAAGCAGCTTCAAACAAAACTTCAAGAAAGAAAGTGCAAGTGAAGAAGGAAATTCATCCTTCCCGTCACTTAACACAGCACTGTCACGGACATCTTGTGTCCCCTTAAAATTCATACACTGAAGTTCTAAGCCCCAGTACCCCAGAATGTGACCTTCTTTGGAAATAGGGTCATTGCAGATATGATTAGTTAAGAGGAGATCATACTGGAGTGGGCTGTAATCCAATATGACTGGTGTTATGTAAGGGGGAAATTTGGACACAGACACACACACACACAAGGAGAACACCAGGTGAACTGAAGTCAAAGATTTGGGTGATGCTTCTACAAGCCAAGAAACACCAAAGATGACCAGCAAAGCATCAGCAGCTGGAAGAGGAGCCTGGACCAGATTCTTCCTCACAGCCCTCAAAAGGAACCAATCTTGCTAGAGCTTTGACTTAGATTTCTAGCCCCCTGTGATTGTTGATGTTAAGTGTCAACTTGAGTGGGTTAAGGGACGCCCAGATAGCTGGTAAGACAGTATGTCTGTGTGCATCTCTCATAGTGTTTCTGGATAAGATCAGCATTTGAATCCTTAAAGAAGATCTGCCCCCACCCACGTGCATCACCCAGTCTCTAGAGAGCCCAAACAAAGAGGAGGAAGGGCACAGATGCTCCCTCTGTTCCAGCTGGCACATCCATCTTCTCCTGCCCCCTGACTTCAGAGCTCCTGGTTCTTGGGCCTCAGGATTCCTCAGGATTCCAGCACTTACATGACAGCATGCTTCCCCCTCCCCACTCCACCCCTAGGGTCTCAGCCCTTTGGCCTCTGACTGAATTCCACCACCAGTATTTCAGAGTCTCCAGCTTGCAGACAGCAGATCATGGGACTTCTTGGCCTCCATAATTATGTGAGCCAATTCCCATAATCTATCTATCTATCTATCTATCTATCTATCTATCTATCCATCTATCTTTCTCTCTTTCTCTCTCTCTCTCTCTCTCCTATTGATTCCGTGTCTCTGAAGAACCCTAATACACCTCCAGAACTGTGAGACAATAAATTTCTGTGGTTTAAGCCACCTGGAAGGTGGTACTTTATTTCACCAGGCCTAGCAAACTAATACAAGCACATGGAAAGTGTCTACTCATGACTACAACTCAGAGAACAAGCGTTATAATAAAAATAAAAGTGTTACACAGAGGTGGCAAGATAAATGACAATAAATGAAAACATTAACATGTGAATTAAAAGTAAAGATATTTTTCCTAGCATTCTCCTAGAAAGTAGAGATGTGTCTCTCTTGTTTGCCATCATATCCAGCAATGGCAAGATAAGTTCTAGACACTTAATAAAAATGTGTTGAATGTAAGAAATTACATTTGTTGGATGTAAGAAAGAACATTCCATGGTTCTCTATTAACCAGATCTTCTATGCATGGCTCAAATGCAAGCTCCATAGAGTCTACTTAGAACTGAAAAGGACCCGAGAGAAAGTTTTGTCTGATCTTTTCACTTCACTTATGGAAACACGGAGGTTTACCGAGGCTGTGCCAGATCCGGGATCCCTGCTTGCTCATGGCACATATGGTACTATTACAGAAGGCTGATTCAGAGGTCTTTTAACTTTTTATTACACTGCCTTTCTATAGTAATCAATTGAATACGGCCCCTGGGGCTTGACAAAATTTTTAAAGGCTTTCTCAAGTCTCCAAGAATGATTATATTTAACAGCAGACAGACTTCACGTGGGCAAACATTTAATGCTCACTAAATAGCCGCGCACTTTCCTAGATTTTCTGGCCTCCTTACAGTCAGGCCAGGGCATGTGACTCATTTTGTTCCATAGACTGTAGACACAAGCCTCACTTCTGGGCCAAGGCAAAGAGAAGACCTTCATGACACTGAACTTGCCCGTCCCCATCCCAGTGATAGAACCACATATGGAGGTGGTGGGACCACCAAATGGAGTCCGCTGGATCTGTGGCTTGCCCACTGGTAAGATGATTCTCAGGAGAATCTGAACCTGCATGCATTAAGCTATTGAAATTTTAGGGTTTATTTGTTAGTGCAGCATGGTCTTGCCTAAACTAACAACTAAAGCTAACACATTCACTGTAAACTGGTTTTGAGTAGCAGTAATTCATAGGTACTTGAGTCTTGAAGGAGAGCCCAAGTACAGTGCTAGGTAGGCAGAGTAAGTCATTCAGTCTTAGACATGAGAGCATATTTGAGGCAGATAGCCAAGAGCTAGGAAAAGATGGGAACCTGTAAGAAATTCAGGTAGCAGATAGGTGGAAGGGGAACACAGTACAGAATCCAGGTCTGTGTCCTGGACAACAACTCAGGTGCCCACCGCTCATTCCTAGTGAACGCTGCCACATGGTAACACATGAGGTTTAAAATAAAGAGCCACGGGGGAGAAACAGGACTTGCTGCTCCACCTACTGAACAGGGCTCAGGTGATACATCGCAAGGTGGATGCTTGAGTGCTTCATGCAGATTCCCTACAGAACCAAGGCAGTCATGATCCCATGAGCTGGGACTGTTGGATGTGGAAGGCTCGCATCCCAGGAATCAACCTTGGCCAAAGGTAGCTGCCTCTTGTAAAACTGCTTCCAAAACAGCTTGCCTGATCCAGGCAAGGCTCATGCCTGCCCCACTTGGCATACCTTGGGACCACACTGAAGGGCTCTCTGGTCCTAGAGTTCCCCAGCAAAGGCATCCCAGCTCCCCTGCTTCCTCATTCTTCTACAGGAACCCTTCCTAAGCATCTCTTAACGGCCAACCTTCATCTCAAGAGCCTATTTCCCAGGGAACCTGACCTGAGACAGTAAGATGGGGAAAGTGAGGTCCAGCAAGACTGCAGAAGAAGAGAATCATAAAACATTTTCCTGACAATAGATTGTCTGACTTGGTAGGACCAGCAGGTTTTATGGATAAAGGTGGCAGGTGGGCTGGAGCAGGAATGGACAGAGCCTTGGATGTCACCTAAGAATGGAAAGTTCTGGGGGATGGTGGGAATAAAAATAAGAATAGGGGCTATAGAGACCCTTTGTGGACTGAAACATACTTAAAAGCCCCTTTAGAGATCATTTTGTCTCATTGCTGTGTGTTTCTAAGTATTTGACTTTTATTCTGCTATTATTTTAAATGCTCCTAACCTTAGATAATTCAATCTTCTTAAAATACATACAGTACTTAAAAACTTCTCTCTCTCTCTCTTTCTCTTTCTACACACACACACACACAAACACACACACACACACACCATCGCCACCCCCATCAACAACAATAACAAACGCAAACACTCTCATCAAATCCCCATGCCTTGACAGCCTGGAAGATTTCTCATACTCTTTTAAACTTCAGTGCACCACTGACACCTCTAGTAACATTTCTGTCACCCCGCTGGGTTAGCCAATCTTTCTGCTGAGTTGTGCTCACACCACTTTTATTACTCTCTTATTATATTATTTGTATGTTTGGCATTAGACGTGAAAGAATGTAATATTCCAATGAAAGAATGCAAATTCCTCTTTCTCCTTTCCCCATCTTGCACGTGTATGAAGATCTCTATTCATCTGTCTTCTCCTTCCTTCTCTCATTTCACATCTTTGTGTGAAAGTTTGGTCTATTGGGTTGTATTTCTGAGAACATATTCTTATCAGAGGATCACAGGGCAAGGCCACAAGCCACTTCCTCCAAAGAAGACATGCACTCACAGTTTCTCATCATCAAGAGGGGAGCAGGCTTCATGGATTGAAACAAACAAATAACAACAACAAATAAAACCCAGAAACTCAGAAGCTGAGTCCCAGGCAGTTTGGAAGGAAGAAGGACAAACCATCTCCCTGAGCTTGGTTTGGGCTTGGCCGCCAAAGTCAGTATGTTTCATCAAGATCTAGCTATGCGCGCGGTCATGTCAGTTAGACTCCCTCCGCTCCAGCTATAAAATAAGGGATGATTACACTCCTCTTATATGGTTTCTCTGAGCATTTAAAATAAAAATTAGTCAAAGCACTTAACACCATACTTGCCATGCCTGCTTCAGGGCTCACAAATTGTTAGCTGCTAAAATATGCTCTCTACCCTCAAGGGCCATATAGTTTAAGAGAAGAATCGTGTGTCCACTGGTAGGAGGCATAGGCACATTCCCCCAAAACCGAGATTATTGTGACTCTATCAGTTGTAGAGCCACCCCCACGGAGAATGTAAATCTTGGTCAATATTGTGAAATGGGACTATGAAGTCCAAATGCCTTAACCCCTACTGAAATTGTATCTCCATCATTAGCCTTAGACAATCTGAATGTTACTTGTTATGGGATCATTTTGGTTAGGACTGGCTAATCTGTGTTACAGTAACAAGTAATCTCAAAAGGTGAACTGTCCCATACATGCTGTTTGCTATGACCATGTTTGTCTCTTCAATACTATCCTCCCAATAAGCACGCAAGATCAAGGTTGCCTGTTTTTAGACTCAGCCATCTCAACATTAGGCCTCCTCTGTAATCACTGTGGCCCCAAAAGCAAATGTTGTAAAGCCTCGTACCAGTAGTTAAACGCACTCATCATTGACCAGAACGAGTAGCTTTGCTTAACTGAAAGGTGAGAAAGTATAATTTTCTCATGTTCACAGAAAGGGGTATGAAAGACTACTCAACGTCTTTACAATAGGGAGTAAAAATATTTCCTTCAAGGAACAATGATTAAGGTTAGCAGTTTTCAGTGAACAGCTAATGCCTGACATACCATCGAATAAATTAGGGGATAGTCATGGTGGCACTGAGACTTGAATTTGAAGACAGGCATCTGATAAGACAAGTCAGATCTTCAGAGGTATTTCACTTGGGGAGTGTCATGTTTTATAAAACTTGAATGCCTCTAAGAGGAGTATGTTTTCTACCTCACCCTGGCTCCCACCACCCTGTGCTGTCTTATATCCAGTTGCTTTGCACATTTCTGTGTCTCTGATTTTTGAGGCCACTTGAAGGCCGACATTGGACCCTTCACAAAACAGAGCAGAGCATTTTTTTGTTTTGTTTTTTCTTTCTGTAGGTTACTGGGGGAACAGGTGGTGTTTGGCTACATGAGTAAATTCTGTAGTGGTGATTTGTGAAACTTTGGTGCACCCATCACCTGAGCAGTACACACTGCACCCAATTTGTAGTCTTTTATCCCTCACCCACATCCCACCCTTTCCCACTGAGTCCCCAAAGCCCACTGTGTCATTCTTATGCCGTTGCATCCTCATAGCTTAGCTCCCACTTAAGTGTGATAACATACAACGTTTGGTTTTCTATTTCTGAATTACTTCACTTAGAATAATGGTCTCCAATCTCATTTAAGTTGCTGCAAATGCCATTAATTCATTCTTTTTTATGGATGAGTAGTCAGAACATTTTTAGAAGTTTATGTTCTACTGAATTTTTCAGACCTGAGCTCTGGGGAAGCACTCATCTCAATATTCCTATTAAGATATAGAATGAGAGATCAGAGTCAGCCATGTAATTTGTGTGTGTGTGAAAACTTTGTTGCTACTTCTACCATCCTTCAACACTTATTTTACCTATTTGTTTACAAGACTGCCTTCTCCACTAAACTTTGAGCACCTTAGCAACAAAACAATCTCATGCTCATTTTTGCGTTTTTAGCACTTGCTATAAAACCTGATATATCATAGGTGCATACTAAATGAGTAAGTGAACTAATGGGCAGCCGTCTTAAGCCTCCTGTTCTCTAAGGTGTTCCTCCCCAAACCCAAATGTCCTCTCTTTTTGCTCATGACAAAAGAGACTGTTAGTAGCTACCAGAGGCTACCAGGAGCTGTTTGTGTAATTAACTGAAGTCCTTACTCTAATCTTTGCATTGATCCCTCATTTTGCTGATGAAGAAACTGGGCCTTTGTGAACCTAAGTATCTCACCCTTAATCAAACACAGTACTGCAGCTCAAGCCGGGCTGCCTCCATGGCCTGTGCCTTTTCTATCACTGCTTTGCCTCTCTTACTCAGTTGTTTAACTCCCTCGTGTGTCTAACTCTTGTCCTAACATTTGCAAATTTCTCAAAGTTGAAAAGCCTAACTCTTCTTCTTGGATATTTCCCATAGCGTCTGGCACAGGTCTCACCACATGGTAGATATGCACCCAGCTGTTCCTGAATTAAACCTTTCAACTACAAGGATCTTGCCATGCATCACCAGGTTATGGTAGGCAAATAGGTAGGACATAGCTTCAGTTTGCTCTCTGTTCCCTTCTTTTCCCTCTCCTGGCCAATACCTGAGAGAAAGGTGGTGCTGACTCATCCCCATGACAACTGGAAGAACAAGATTAATGTTTGCTACTTCCCCAAACTCCCTCAGTTTTACAGAAAATCAGTGGAGAAATTGCAAGCGTAATCACGACGAAGATATTGCAGGCTCTGTCACAGCTGATGGAGGCAATAGGAAACTTCCAGGTGTCACCAAGTCATACTACTCACAGCACTGCCTATTTCAATAGAAGTGGCTTTATTAATTGCCATCAAAGTCAGGTCAAATCTATTAAATGGCAACAAAGTCAGGTCAAATCTATTAGGTATACTACATCTTACTATTTCAATGATGGGTCATGCTATGGACTGAATTGTCTCCTTCCAAAATTCACATGTCAAAGCTCTGATCCCCAGTGTGACTATATCTGGACACAGGGTCTTTAGCAGGTAGTTAAGTTCAAATGAAGTCCTTATGCAAAAGGATGGTGGCCTTGTAAGAGGAGAGCGATCTCTCTCTCTCTTCCATATGAGAACAGGGACAAGGCAGCCATCTGCAAGCCAGGGAGAGAAGCCTCACCAGGAACTGAAACAGTTGGCACCGATCTTGGACTTCCAGCCTCCAGAGAAATACGTGTGTGTTGTTTCTGCCACATGGTATATGGTATTTTGTTATGGCAGCCTGAGCTGACTAATTCAGGTCAGTTTGACTCAACCAGCATTTGAATGCCTGCTGTCTACTAGGCTTCCAGGAAACAGTGATATCTGAGTTACGATTTAATGAAAAATGAGGTATTCTTCGCAAAAGCAGATGGCACCAGCTACACATATACAAAGGTTTTCTGGTTATTCACAAGAGTAGATGTCAGAAAACGTAAAAGATAAAGCTGAGTATAACCCAGGAAGAGAACTGACAAAGGTCAGTCTATTCAGACGTGTTGCTGAGAGGGGTTTAGAAACAAGTTGAGGCGGCCCTGAATGAAAAAATAAACAATGTTTGGGCAGTTTTCCAGATTCCCCAAGAATGAACTTTCACAGAGAAGCTTTGTTTTTATTTGTGTGTGTGTGTGTGTGTGTGTGTGTGTGTGTGTAGAGAATATTACCAAAATTAACAGGATACCACTCACATCCATAAACAAACATGTAAACAACTCAAAAACCAAATCCAGTGGTTTTTCTCAAGTTAACTCTTGACTTTTTAATGCCATTGAATGTTTTCTCATCTATTAGTGTGAATTGCTGAGAACTGGCTGTTCTCATTAAAGTATAAAATGCTAATTTACTTTAAAAAACTTCAGAAGACATGTGAAAAATAAAATTATTGAGTATGAATGCAATTCTACTAAGCAATATATATGACTGGAAAGATGTAAGCTAAATTACCAGTTACCTCTATGTGACACAATTATGGGTAATTTTAATTTTCTTCATTTTGTTTTACTGTTTTCAAAATCCTCCAAATGTGTATTTTTTAATAATAAAAATAAATATTGTTACAATCGTTCTGATCTTTTAAGTCTATTTTAGTAGTATCTGAGGTGGACTTGCTATAGTTCTCCTAAGCATATATGGGGTTTTTATATAATTAAACTTGACTTGGAGGACTGGCAAGATGGCCAAATAGGAACAGCTCTGGTCTGCAGCTCCCAGTGAGACCAACAAAGAAGGTGGGTGATTTCTGCATTTCCAACTGAGGTACCTGGTTCATCTCATTGGGACTGGTTGGACAGCGAGTGCAGCCCATGGAGGGTGAGCCAAAGCAGGGTGGGGCATCGCCTCACCCAGGAAGCACAAGGGGTCAGGGAACTCCCTCCCCTAGCTAAAGGAAGCTGTGAGGGACTGTGCTGTGAGGAATGGTGCTATCTAGCCCAGATACTATGCTTTTCCCACGGTCTTCACAAACCACAGACCAGGAGATTCCCTTGGGTGGCTACACCACCAGGGCCCTGGGTTTCAAGCACAAAATTGGGCGGCCATTTGGGCAGATGCTGAGCTAGCTGCAGGAGTTTTTCTTCATACCCCAGTGGCCCCTGGAACACCAGTGAGACAGAACCATTCACTCCCCTGGAAACGGGGTTGAAGCCAGGGAGCCGAGTGCTCTTGTTCAGCGGATCCCACCCCCACAGAGCCCAGCAAGATAAGATCCACTGGCTTGAAATTCTTGCTGCCAGCACCGCAGTCTGAAGTCGACCTAAGACACTTGAGCTTGGTGGGGGGAGGGGCGTCTGTCATTACTGAGGCTTGAGTAGGCTCTTTTTTCCTCACAGTTCAAACAAAGTTGCCGGGAAATTCGAACTGATGGGGAGCCCACCATAACAGAGCAAAGTGGCTGTAGCCAGATGAATTCTCTAGATTCCTCCTCTCTGGGCAGGGCATCTCTGAAAGAAAGGCAGCAGCCCGGCCGGGCTCACACCTGTAATTCCAGCACTTTGGGAGGCCAAGGCGGGTGGATCACAAGGTCAGGTGTTCGAGACCAACCTGACCAACACGGTGAAACCCCATCTCTATTAAAAATATAAAAATTAGATGGGCATGGTGGTGCACACCTGTAATCCCAGCTACTCAGGAGGCCGAGGGAGTAGAATCACTTGAATCCAGGAGGCAGAGGCTGCAGTGAGCTAAGATCAGGCCACTGTACTCCAGCCTGGGCAACAGAGCCAGACTCCATCAGAAAGAAAGGAAAGAAAGAAATGCAGTAGCCCCAGCCCCAGTCAGGGGCTTATAGATAAAACTCCCATCTCACTGGGACTGAGCACCTGGGGGAAGGAGTGGCTGTGGGTGCAACTTCAGCAGACTTAAATGTTCCTGCCTGCTGGCTCTGAAGAGAGTAGTGGATCTCCCAGCACAGTGTTCAAGCCCTCCTAAGGGACAGATTGCCTTCTCAAGTGGGTCCCTGACCCTCATGCCTCCTGACTGGGAGACACCTCCCAGCAGCGGTCGACAGACACCTCATACAGGAGAGTTCCAGCTGGCCTCTGGCAGGTGCCCCTCTGGAACGAAGCTTCCAGAGGAAGGAGCAGGCAGCAATCTTTGCTGTTCTGCAGCCTCTGCTGGTGATAATCAGGGAAACAAGGTCTGGAGTGGACCCCCAGCAAACTCCAGCAGACCTGCAGAAGAGGGGCCTGTTAGCAGGCAAACTAACAAACAGAAATCAGTAACATCAACATCAACAGAAAGGATGCCCATGGAAAAACCCCATCC